TCCGAGCGTCTGCCGGGCGGCGCCTTCCAGGCCGCGGCGCATCGACGGCTGGGCGGGCCGGGGGTGGGGCCGAAGAGAGCCAAGCTCCGGACTGGGCCGGGGCGGGCCGGGGGCGGGGCCTCGGGAGATCCGGGGCCGGTGATTGGCTCGAGGGCGGGACGAAGTTGCAGCCAGCGCAGCCCGGCTCCGCCCAGCCTCCCGCCCCTCCCACCTGGGAAATAGCCCGAGGGGTTGAACCAAACCCTGATGGATGGGGCTCGCGGCGGGCTGCCGGCGTGGCCGCGCTCTCATTGGTGCCGATCGCTGCCCGACGGCTGCTGGGGCGGGCTGATTTGGAGCCCGCGGGTGGGGATACGCTGCACCTCGATGGCGGAGACGGAACCAGCCCTCCGAGCTTCTGCGAGCCGGGCTAGTAGGTTGGAGGAGGCGTGTCGTCGTCACTTGTTAAAGTTAATGAACCCAATAAACTTGTTTCAGGATCCACAGAGCCCCGATCCTCTCTGGTCTTGCTCAGTCTTAAGGAGGGTTTGTTCCATTCTTTCTGGTTTGCAGCAAACACAATAAGAACCAACTGCGTGCACCTTTGCCCAAGCAGCATGACTTTGTAGTCATCCAGCTAATCCATCCTCTGATCTTCTAGAAGATGTCCTGCAGATAACCATCCTTGTCTGGGGTAACCCTTATGGCTGGGCAGAGGCAACAGGACATTTTATTCTTTCTATCCTGTTCTCCAGAAGGAGCCAGGGCCAACCTCAATGGGCATTTGAAGGGTCCTCAAGGGTTACCCAAGAAGGTGTCCTGTGAGGCCCCCTGTGCCATGAGCCTATGAAGTCCCAAACCCTGTTGAGCACAAACTCCCTCCTGATTATCCTGGCACACATCTGATTTCAGCTCCCAGCCTTCATGCTCTCTGCTTTCCCTAGGAGTAGCCGTGTATCCTTACACCAGTGTCTCCTTTGTTGAGAGCCACTGGCCTGTACATTCTGCCACAGCTTGAGTAAACGTGGTAAAAACACATAATGCCTACCCAGGGACAGACTAGACATGCATACAAAGGCCCAGCCACCGACAGGACTCAAATTCACAGATTATACCATAAAAATGGTGTACACAGCCAAGAACACAACCAGTCCATGCACAGACTACAAACTCAGCTCCAAAGCGGCCTCTTCCCAGTCAGCCCTGCCCCCAAACCCCCACCCCTTGAGAACTGATCCTCCCTCCTCCGGCCTCCCGGCCTGCTCCTAGCAACAGCCAACAGCTCTTGCAGTTGCTGGGCAACAGAAAGAACCTGTCAGCTCCTTGGAAGCCAGGCTCACCAGAGGTGGGGACAACACCGACCCCAATCCGTGGAGGCAGGGCAAGATGGGGCCACTGGAAGGCATGACCTCTTCCACCTCCAGGTCAGATCATGTCATTTTTTTGCACCTTCCCATCAGTTAGCCACTCCCTTTCAGTTATGTGTTCTTCTAGCAACCCGTGCTCCCCCTTCCCCATTGGTCTCTGTGGGGGTCCCCAGGGCTAGGCATCTGCTTGCTACTCCAGGGGCTCCAAACCCCACAATGTCATTATCAGTCCAACTTCTCCCCTGATGGTGAGCCCAGGTCTACCACTGCTCTAAGGCCTCCCCTAGATACCCCAGGGCACCCCTCAAGGGCCCTCTAGCCTCCCTTGCCTTCCTGTTTGTCCTACAATCCACCTTCTACCTGGCAGTCAAAGAAATCATGTCACTCTCTTGCTCACAAACCCCTGAGGCCCCCCCAGTGCCTTGAGCATAAAACCCACACATGCTGCTTTGCACTGTGTGTGAAACAAGAGTTAGGAGCGTGGCGGCTGACAGCAAGGACTCTGGGGAGCATTCTGCAAACCTGCTTGCTCTGGATTACTTTGAACGGTACCAGAAACTCCCTATGTCTCAGTTGTCTTCTCAGTAAAATGGGCCTCACAGTGGTATCTACCCACTGTACTGGCTGAGGCCCATCTTAGGGAGGAAACTTAAAATGCTCAGGACATGCACGACACGTGGAAAGCCAGCTATGGGGTGAGTTGTTCTAACAGCAATTTCTGCAAGGCCCCGTAGGACCTGAGGGGCCCACCTCATCTCCTGCCACTTGCAATACACCAGCACTCAGTCACCTGCCTGACATTGTTTCCCCATCTTCCTGCTTGTTCCTGCCCGCAAACCCTTCCCTGCCTCTTCCTTCCCCTTCCACCCACCCTCTGTTGTGAGCTGAGCCTCCCTCACTCCCACCTTCCTAGGATGTCCTTGTCCCAGGCCAGATCCCACTATGCTGGTGGTGAGTCACTCCCGTCTGGGTCTCTGGTTCCAGACCCCTTGTAGCATAGTCTCGAAGGTGGCAGTAAATGTTTCAAGTTGAAGATATGAATTACCTGGATTTTTTCCAGCTGTTCCAAGGGTTCCCATATCCTGGAGCTAGGAGAGGTGTAAACGAGGAATCCTGCTGCCACTATAAAAATATGTGCCATTGGGCTCTCCCACACCCTGTGCCTATGCAGGCGTCTCTCTTTTTACTTCTCCTGTTCCTAACAAGTCTGCCCTTTTAAAATGTAATAAATCAATACGTAAAAATGCCATCATTGTGCAGGCAGAGAAGGAAGAAACTGATGGCTCCTGGGAAGGTCAGGGAGCCTTCTTGGTGACGAGGAAGAGCAGCATTCCAGGGAGATGAGCAGGGAGGTAGGACTGAGAAGGTGGGTCTAGGGAAGGGCCAGGGAGGACACCAAGGGGCAGAGCTGGGGAAACCCTCTGCTTTGCAGATGAGACAACTGAGCTCTAGTATGGCTAGACCAAGGTCACCCAGTGAGGGGCGTCACAGGTATCCTGTGTCCCTCACACTTGGATTCCAGGTGTCCTTTCAAGAGACATCTTGGAGGCAAGGATGAATGCTTAGCCGGCCCCAGGAAGGCCCCAGAGAAGGCGTGGCCTGTCCCTGTGACCTCAGGTCCAGCATCACCTGGACTAGACTCTAAAAGGCCTTGAAATGACATCTGGTGGGACTGAGGGCAGGACCCCAGCTGGAATGGTGAAGTGGCATCTGCAGGCTCCCCGACAGGCAGAAGAGTTGTGGGGCTCACCACAGGCCACAGAACAGTACAAGCTTGTCCTGAGTTCCTACCCCCACGTCAAGCAGAGCAGGGTGAGGAACAGAGACCCCCTTCAGTGATCTGCATGTGACACCCCAGCCCACAGGCTCCAGGAAGGGGAAGCTGCCAGCACTTCCCCAAAGACAGTTTCAGGGTGGGTGTGTCTGCCTCCACCCAGAGCCCAGGAACAGGCAGGACCCTGAAGGGACACCCAGAGTCCAGAGTCGGAACCAACCCATCTCCTTGGTTCCCAGGTAGCAGGGAATCCCCAGCAAGACCCTGTGCCCAGTAAATCACAACCTTGCAAACAGGGCCTCCACAGCTTTAACTTGTAAATCTCAGTGGCCAGAACTGACTCCTCCTCCCTGCAAGCACAGAGTCAGGCTCCACCTTCTGGTACATTCCCTGTACTTCCCCCTTTCTGCTTCTTACCCCAGCAGTAGTTCTGAGATTCGAGTCAGCTACCAAGCCTCTGTTTCTTCTTTCCCAGCCTTTCTTCCCAGATTTCTCTTCCCCCTAGAGGAACAGTGCCAAGCCTGGGGGGCCTTGGGGTCCAGGATCCCCCCTCCTGGTCATCATCATCCTTTACACCGGACAACTGACTTGGGCCTGGAGAACTCAGGCCCCAGCACCCCTTGCCAAAAGTTTCTGGATGGGCTGGGGCGGGGAGAGGGGTCATGTGTTGAACTACTGTTTCATTTGAACCTGCTGTGAGCCATTGTACTGAGAACCCCAGGGTGAGTTAGGCAGCTGGGACTCTGCTCTCCAAGAGCACACACCAAAGAAGTAAACAGGAAAACGAGCTCCACAGTTTCAGAGGAAATCAAAGGGGTGACACAAGGGCCATTGGGAGGTGTACGCAGGAGGGAAGAGTCTGAGCAGGGGATCTTTGAATGATGAAAAGGAACAACCATATGATTAACCAAGAGATGAGTCTTTGCAACAGTAATTGCAAAGACCCAGGGGCACAAAGGTGCCTGGACAGAAAGGAGGCTGGCCTGGCCGGAACAGTGAGAGCGAGAGACAGTGGGTGAGAGGGGACTGCCACGAGGCAGCGTGAGTAGCGCAGGCAGGGGCGTAAGTCCCCAGGAGATGTTGAGGCAGGGGTGGGTCTGAGCCTGCAGGAGGTACCAGCATCTCCGAGCCAGTGACCCATGCCTGGTCCAGGCACTCAGGGTGCTGTGGATATGACTGGGGGAATACTGCCCAAAGCCCTGGCAGGGGGCCCAAGGAGCCCACAGGGCTTTCTTTGGGACCCAGGTCTGAGCGAAGCCCCCTTCCCATCCTTGAAGAATTCATGGCCCTACAGCACACTGTGCCTGCCACACAGACAGCCTCGAAAGACCACCTCCCCTGGGAGGTCTGGGGTCCTTCGAGGGCCTGGAAAATGATCATCAGCCCTGTCCCCAGGAGCCACTTGTCTGCTCACATCGTCGCCTAACCCTCCCTGTCAAGCTGCCCACAGGCTGGAGCTGAGCGCCTCTCTCGCGACTCGTTAGGGCCTTCATTAGCACCGCTTCCTGGAATTTAATTTAATGATGGAGCAAAAAACAGCCCTAATGAAGGTGATGCAACAGTGAGCAGCCCATGGGTGCCTCCAGGCCCAACCACCTGAGCTCAGGGGCTTCGTGCAGGGGGTGACTTTGAGTAGAGGAGTTGAAGAGCATGAGGGGATGCTGTCCTGGGTGAGGTGCTGGCTACTGAGCCCTGGGAA